TTTTGCGGGGGCGGAGCTCATTTTTGAAATACACTTGTAACAGTGTGAGCATACAGAAGTCTGGATGCAACATTTGATGGCTGTAGCTTATATAGTCTCTGAGATCCAGGCGCTCAACAAGACGGACGGACAGACGGACGGACAGACAGTCATGGCTCAATCGACTCGGCTATTGATGCTGATCATGAATATATATACTTTATGGGGTCGGAAACATTTCCTTCTGTGCGTTACATACATTCACCTTGTGCACAAATACAATATACCCTATTTACTCTTCGAGTACCGGGCATAATAAATTGATTTTGTGTATTCGAAAGGGACGAAAGGGATAAACGGTTATAAAGATCTTAATATGAATACATATACTTTGCAACAATTGACTTTGCGTTGCAAATATTTTCTATTAGAGTATTCAGCGTACACTGTGTGAATAGACATAGAGTTATAAGTGGAGACATGGCAGCAGTGTCGAAAAAGAATTTATTCGTTTTTTTCTTTTCAAGTTAGTTTCGTAGTGTCGTGTGTGTCTCTCTAAACTTTAAAACGAATCAGACTTAAAAGGAAAAACAAAACTTTGTTTTTGCGAGAGTCGCTTTGCGTTCAATGCTGAAGAGAGCCAACGCTAAACTCTCTCAGCCGAAGGCTCTCTCACCAGGAGCCGAAGGCACGTGGAGCCAATCCCCCATACCGATTATGCAGCAGGTTTTTCAGTAGTGTGAACCCTCTATATGTTGTTTGCTTAGTGCTATTACCCCTCGAATGTCTCTCCATACCACCACACGTCCTTTGGTCCTCAGGTCTATCGTTGGATGTTGCTGTCGTCAGATTCGTGCCTTACAAAGCGAAAAGTAACAAAACGCCCACCAAAAACGTGATTTTCCCCAAATGTTCACATACTTACATATACAGAAAGTTTTGAAGAATAAGTTGAAAGGGGGTTGGGTGGATGGTAAAAGAGGGAAGGGAGCCTGAGGTTTGGGGGAAACGTACCATAGATCCAAACAAAATTACACGCTGTATGTGCGCTGAAAACGTGCTAGAAAAATGAAGCGTGAATCAATAATACACACAGTAGGAGATGGCAATAGTCACGGAAGAAATAGAGAGAGAGAGAGAGAGAGAGAGAGAAAAAGAGAGAGAGAGAGAGCGAGTGTGTGAGAAAGAGACACAAAAAGGCAAATAGGTGAACAAAAAACTGTGGCAAATGGCTACGTGCAACATTAAAATCTGCAATGGTAACGGCCACGCCATCTACATCAGATCCAGCCCAGCGCATTGTCCTGTCGAGCACTCTAATGCAGCTATAATGGCCCTGAGTGCAAGTGAGGGGAGACAAGCAGATTGAAATAAAGGTAGAGAAAAACTGTTAGTCAAAGCGGTAGAAATGATTTTTTCGTTTTCGGGTAAAGAGTATAACGAAAATACATTAGAGCTCCAAAAAAATGTATTTATTTTCCAAAACCGAAAACTCGTAAAACAAAAGCTGGGCAATTTAGCTTGTGCCTTCCACACCTTCCGTCTTACTTACATGTACATATGTATGTATGTATGTATATCTGTACATATGTACATATGTATGTAAATTCTTGTTTATCTTAATCTAACTAAGAGCGAAAGAGACTATATGTGTGTCGGTGTCTCGTGTGGCTCAGAAAAAACTTAATTTTGTATCGCATGCCACATACATTCATACATATGTATGTACATACAAGCATTACAGCATTACACCAAACTAAAGATTCTAATATACATACAGTAAGCACACATATTATTCGTAGACCATCATCACCTTAGTTTTAACACCTAAAACGTGGCGTACGGTCAACGTAAACAGAAAAAGTTAAGATCAACATATTTACTATATGTTTATGAAAAAAGTTTTTAATAATCTTCTATAGTATCCTTATAAAAATTAAATGAAGCAAAAAAGTACTTTTTTCGCACATAAATTACTTGTAAAGCCGTCCGATTTTTTAAGTGAAATTTAAATATTATATGTACAATGAAAGTTTTTGTTTGCTACATTTAGTCTTTATGATGACTAAAAGCACATGCAACAATCTTTCCCCCAAGGTATTGGTGCCCCATGAATTAATATTAGACCCCTCCACAAGCAGTACCTGTTGCAATAACTACCTCGATGAAATTTTGGGCTTTCGTATCCTTTTTTACAAATATTTTTACACAGGCTTCATGGAACTCAAGTTTACTAACCGAATTGAAAGTTTCAGTTTATGACTAAATATAATGACACATGGATGCTAATTGTTACTCAAAATATAGGTTAATACATCCTTTTTCATATTTTCATTAAATAAAACCATTCGTACAGCTCCAGCTCAAAAACAACACAGGTGAAACACTGGGCACCCTCCGATGACCCATACAATTTTTATTCATCATAAAGACTTAATATAGCAAACAAAAGTTTTCATTGTACATTTTACCTTTAATATTTTAATTTCGAATAATTTATTTGCGAAAAGTAAGGAGTTTTTTACTTAAGTTAAGTTTTATAAGGATACTATAGAAGATTATTAAAGACTTTCTTCATAAAAATAAAGTAAATATGTTGATCTTTGATACAAAATTAACTTTTCCTGTTAACGTCAAGTTATAGGTGTTAATAATAAGTAGGGTGATGATGGTGTACGAATAATATGTGTGCATACAGTAGTATGCAATACCGCATATAGCTTGAAAATAGTTCAGCTATCCTAGCTTTCGAGGGTCTCCTCACAGCCAGGCAACTAAATGCTATGTGCGCTACCAGGGAGGAGCCGCAAGTGACAAGAAGGGGAAGGATCCGCTTGGCAGACTGCTTATGGATTTTGACTACAACTTAATTTAAATTGTTTAATTCTATTATTGTTGCTAATAAATCACGGGCACAGCTTGCTCAGTTCGCTGGCTAGCTTAGCATTTTCTAAGCGCCATAAAACACACACACAAGCACATGCATATATGTATGGAGATACATACAGATAGATACATGCGTATGTAGATACAGATAAACATTTGCCTTGTGCCGCCTGGTGCCATTGCTGTTAGCGACTTTCGCACTTATTTGGCAATGGCAATGGCCCGCATCGCACTGATTCTCTCTCTCGTTTCTGCCCCCAGGGACCATTCTTTGTTTCGTGTTGCATATTGTGAGGCGACCAGCTTCATGACCCATTCCACGCTATAAATTACCGTGATCTTGTTGCTTTTTGGGCCTGTGTCCAAACTTTTGTAACTAACTCGTAATTGTTTTTAGTCATTTTGAAAATAGTAGCCTAAAGAGTGCCGGGGGAACGTCTTTGAATATATTTCGGATTTGATTGCAGTTCATTAGGCGGTTGAGCTGGTTTTCAAAAGCAAGCTAAATAACAATACAATTTTCATTGCCGAAAATGACAAAAAGCCCTTACCGTACACACACAGAAAAACCGCATGTCAAATGCAGGCCAGACCCCAGAACAGGGGACGTGGATGAGAACAAGGACCAGGAGTGGGCGTGTTGCTTGACCAGCCGCGACCGCTTGACATGGCCGTAAATAACAAAGCCAAAATGGCGGCAGCTCAGAGCCATAACCAAACCAAGGTGAAAGCAAAATATGATATGTCAAATGCACTCGACAGCAACTGACGATGGGACTGGACTCGACAATGATACTGCAGGGAAACGGAGCCGCCTACAGGACCCGTTCGAATGATATACAAATAAGCACTGGCATAGACAAGCACGACGGTCATAAAGGGCTAAACAGTGCCGCCATCAGTGCTGCCTTTAACGACACCGTACATTTTGAGCAAAAGTTGTTCTGTATCCGAGGAGTGACTCCCACTGCTTTTCATGCAATATGTATGTATATGTATGACTTCGCGGATGAGTCAAAGCTGCCTTTACGGATAATGAAAGCACCATTTCCTCTTTGAGTTTTAGCCATGAAAGTAATTAACTGAATTCTTAAACAACGAGATAAATATTTTCCTCTAACCATGTCCAGGGTTCTCTCTCTCTTTCTCTCTCGCTGTTAGAGTAAACATGCTTTCAAAAAAATTTACAAAAAAGTACTTCACATCGTCAGAAGATGACAGACACTACTTTTGAGGCAACTATACTTTGCATTTGACTGCCCCGATTTTGCTGGGAATGTACTCATTCGTGTTTTTTTCCCCAAAAAATGTTCTTGTTCATTTTTCCAAAGATACCAATAAACAGTTGTAGCTCGCTTCTTTTAAGTCTTGATCAAAGCAAGCCTTGGAATTTTGAGGCGACTGTATTTTGCCGAGAGAGTGCACTGAATGAACTCTGGAATGATTTCAATATATTTGAGTGGGCGCAAAAATGTGCTCGAGAAAAAACATAAAAGAGCAGCAATATGTACTGCATATTTGCGGGCGGCGCCTGAAAATGGCAACCACAAAGTGTGGAACTAGGCACAGAATAACTACCAGCAAAAAAGACAACAATGGCAAGCAGTTATCGAGCGCTAGCAGCTCACATTTCCGCATAATGTTGAGTGATAATAAAACACAAACAACGGCTGGCCGCCACCGAGAAGGGATAATAAAAATCCTCAACAACATGCAGCTAGGCTCCAGCGGCTACCATTCACCTGACTTGCCCAGAACCGCTGCGGCCCACTCGCATACATACATGTATGTACATATGCATTGATTTATGTTTTTTAATTTAAAATTTCCGCATCACTTGACCGCTGAAAATAATATTGATAACAGAATCAGCAACAATAAGCCTTTGACCACAAGGATGAGATTTAAATATTGTGGGAAAAATGGAAGGAAAATAAGGAGTTTGCGAATGTAGGACGAAAACTAGTGTACATGTTTTAATTTCCACATTACAAACTCATATCGCATTCTCTCTCTGCGAAAAGTCTCCGAAAAATACCGATTACCTCCTCCAACACTTAACCACTAGACCACCCATCCTCAATATTCTTACTCCATGCACTCACTGATTGTCCATTTCTCTTTTGACATTTCAGATTGGGCGGACACCCACAACAGATGCCACAAAGTATGTCAACCGGCAGCAACACAATAGGCCATAGCGGCATCGATCGTGGTGGCGTCGTCATGCCCATGGGCGCTGGTACAATGCCCGTCGGTGTAAGCGGCGTGGGTCAAGTGGGCGGCATCAGCGGTGGTGGTCCCAATGCGAACATCGGGCAACCGGGCAGCGGCAATGGGGGGCCCCATTGCCAGATAAGCGGTTCACAGCCGTTGGTCATGCCCGGATTCCCATTGCGTAATTCCCACTCAGCGCATGCACCGCATTATTCGCCATATTCGCCATCCAGGTAAGCAGATACTCCGAGTAACCTTTTTAACCCTTCAACACATGCCCCTCTCATACGCGACGTGCGGGTTCAACTCCACGGAATTCAAGTTAAATTGAGTGTTCGCTCTGTTTCGGCCCTCCGATATGACTTCCATTCGAACTATTTTAATATGCAGGCTTCAAGCGACTGGGCCATTGGGCTCTGGCTCTCCGCCACCTTGTCTCTCTCTTTTAATGGTCTTCTCCTGGTCTCATAGGATTTGTGTGAAGATTAAAGCAGACCATCCCCCTGCTTTATTGATGGAATTGTAGACTCAAAGCCATTGCAAAGCCATCCGAAAATGACCATGACCTCGGACTAAACAGAGATAGTGTTGAACTTCCAATAGATACTAATTCTTTCTTATCCAAAGTAGTCCTTGCATCCCCCAATCCCTATTTCGATTGTCACTCAACACTTTTTCAGTACACCCATTATATTATCTAACATACTCGTACATACATACATATTTACATACATACATAAAAAACAAAAAATTGTTTTAGTCCCAACGCGAAATGGCACCGTCTCGGCCGTGCGCAAAATTTACTTTTGGGAAGAACAAGGCCGTTCAATTGCCAAGCGGGCCACCCTGCCAGCCGCCAAATTCCTCCCCCAATTGTTTGGCATAGTATCCTTAAGAAGCTACGCTTACCGACCGTGGGTGAGTATGTGAGCTCTACCAACATGCCCTCCACTTTCGGTAATTTCAAGGAGCAGTAGCACCAGAAATTTAGCTCCGCGAAGTATTTCTCGACACCGCTTTCGACTTGAACAGGATCAGAGAAAGTTTCATGGCTGCCAAACCAAAGGAAAACCGATCCGAATATCGCCGTCGGAGTGAGGGAAAGTCAGTGGAAAAAGAAGAGCGGTGATCCAAATGAATAAAAATATGAAGCTTAAAAAAAAACCAAATATTTAAAATATAGGTGCCTGAGAGTACTCGTGTAGACTTGTAGGTATCCCCTCCTTTGGGAGGAAACCGAGTCATCCTCGAGAGAGGGACCATTCTGTCCTATGGAGACTTTTTAGTTCAACCCAATTCTTGCCAAGTTAAGTTGTGCCAGCTCAGAATTGTTAATTCGTTTTGAGACACCACATCACCCCATAACACCCAACCTCATTCGCATTCCATTCAACTTTTACGCAATTAAACGGAGGATCGAGACCAACGCGGAAAGACAGCTCAGGCGACCGGCACTAAGAGAAGTGTGTGTTGTTAATCAATGTCCGTTTTCTTTAGCTGGAGTTCCGATGCTCGTTAGAAGGAGCGTGTGCATACCATGCATTTTAGTATTCGTTTCATTTTTATACCCGGTACTCGAAGAGTAAATAGGGTATCTTGTATTTGTGCGAATAACGGTTGTATGTAACGCACAGAAGGAAACTTTTCCGACCCCACAAAGTATAATTATTCTTGATCAGCATCAATAGCCGATTGAGTTGATTGAGCCATGTCTGTCTGTCCGTCCGTCCGTCAGTCCGTCCGTCAGTCCGTCCGTCTGTCTGTCCGTCCTTATGAGCGCCTGGACCTCAGAGACTATACAAGCTAGAGCCAAATGTTGCATGCAGACTTCTGTATTCTCACACTGTTACAAGTGTATTCAAAAAAATGAGCCCCGCTTCCTTCCGCCCCGTAAAAGGGCGAAAATCTACCGAAGCTACAATTTTGAAGATAAAAGGAAACTAAAAACGCCATTCCGTAGGGAATGACCGAAGCTATCAGATAACCGATTGGGGTCCAACTGAATCATTATTATAGCCAGAATAAAGAAATTAATTTTCAGTGGCTAAACCCACCCCGTCCCGTAGCTTTTATATGGTTTTGGCACATTCTCTCATTCACACTCTGCTTCGTTAACTGTGCGGCCTCTTCCTATGCAGTGTGTGGTTTTAGGGGAGGGGGCGAGCTAAAAGGAGCGTGTTGGCGTGAAAAGTGATGTAGATGTAGATGTTGTTGAAAGATGTAGAAAAAATTTAAAATTTATAATTTAAAATTTGAAAAAAAACCGTTTAGGTACAGATGTTCTACTGAGCACCGGGTATAAAAGTTGTGATGGTTTGGTGGGGCGATGGTAGAGCTGCTAGTTATATTAAACGATAAGGTGACGTGTGAGACGCTTCTTAGGCGTCACAACTTTTATACCCGGTGCTCAGTAGAATATATGTACCTTAACGGTTTTTTCCAATTTTTAAGTTTACATTTTACAATTTTTCTACATCTTTCATCAAAATTTGCATCACTGCCCACGCCAACACACTCTTTTTAGCTCGCCCCCTCCCCTAAAACCACACACTGCAGAGGCAGAGGCGGCACCAAAAAGTAGCTGGCGTTTACCAACAATTCGACAAGCTCTTGGGCGTGCTAACTCTTGTTTCTTGCAAGACCCAGCTTCAATCTCATGTATGTGCATAAGTGGGAATGTGGATGGTGGGTTTGTGTAGGGTTGGGGTTGGGCTTGGAATTTGTGGTTGGGGGTTGGGGGTTGTGTTTGCTTGGTTGGTTGTTGTGGTCCTTGTGACATGTCAAGCGTCTAAAGCCAGAGGACGAGCCCAGGCAGCAGTAGAGTCATCCAGCTGACTGGCTTTAGCCGTGTGTCTTACGGTTCCGCCTCATCGCCCCGTTCCTGCTCCTTCTCCTTTCCCGTTTTGTTAATTATAATGCCGTTCACAATTTTTTAAATCACTACTTTCCCGCTCTCTCTCTTTTTCTCGATCTTTTTCGTTCGCCCGCAGGTTTCACATAGATAAGCGTTGTCAGCACCGATGTTCCTGGAAATGCTTGAGCATCACCTTAATATTCGTATCCGTCGTCCTAACCGCCATGTTGGCATACTTTGCAGGTAAGCATACTTTGCAAGAAAGCATACTTAAGTACTTTGCGATGAAACGGAAAAAGTGGACCCCTGTCCGCGGATGCCAATGTGGTTGCGGATGGGTGTGGTCTGTCATAAAGCCAGCTGAGTAAATGAGAAAAACACATACACACTGAAAAATATTCCCTTAGTTCCACCCTCCAATCGCACCCCGTGTTCTCCGAGTGCGAGTATAATACATACACACATACATACATATGTACATATGTTCATACATATGTATGAACACACGTGCAAACTAAGTACAAACGTAGCGATAACAAGGAAAATACATATGAATGTTTGCTTTACATTAGCGTTATATGGTGTCAACGCTAACATACCACCGCATACACACAACTTGAACGCTTTTTATACCCGGTACTCAAAATGTAAACAGGGTATATTGTATTTGTGGGGAATAACGAATGTTTGTAACGCGCAGAAGGAAACGACAGATGTAGAAAAAGTGTAAAAATTAAAATATACATTTGAACGAGAAGGGACGTGTGAGACGCTTCTTACGCGTCACAAGCTCAGTTTTGAAATACACTGAGTTCAGTGTGAGCATATAGCAGTCTGGATGCAAAATTTGGTGGCTCTTGCTCTTATAGTCTCTGAGAACTAGCCGATAAACAAGACGGACAGACGGACGGACGGACAGACAGACATGGCTCTATCGACTCGGCTAGTGATGCTGATCAAAAGTATATATACTTTATGAGGTCGGAAATGTTTCCTTCTGCGCGTTACATACAACCGTTATTCACACAAACACAATAAACCCTATTTACTCTTTAAGTACCGGGTATAAAAAGCCGCTAAGCTACAGATGGACGACTGAGTACCTGGTATAAAAGTTGTGTGTCCTTTCTTGTTGTTAATTGACAAATGTGCCAAACGTTGGGAGGCTCTTCTACAATTGACAAACAATTATCAACCGCATCGCAAACCCTCGATCAAAAATTGATTTTTTTGACTTTAACATAGTTTCAGTTCCTTTTTCACTTCCCAAAAACACTCAAAATCCAATCATTGATATAATGGTTGGTTTAATGGCCTAGTTGTTGGGGATTCCTTGTTTCCGGTATATGGGTTAGACCCATACACTTAAAAATCAATTTTTGATTGAGTAAATAGAGAAAGTAAAAAGAGAGTTCCTTGTTCCGTATCTACTTTCAGTCTGATATAATGGGATAATTTCTTCATTGCTCACGTTGCTGGAGTGGTGATGACGAAATGGAGCAAAGGCAATTTCGACACTTAGCTATGATCCTATGGAATCTCAACGGATCTCACAGTATTTTTCTCTCTCACCGCATTTTCTCTTCACTTTAAGTTAAATCTAATTAGAGAGAAGAAAGTGGATACATCTCCTGTTGTGTCCTGCTTCCTTTTCTGTTTTTGCTTACAACTTGGTAATTAAACACATTTGCTGTTGTCCCTTCTGCTGTACTCTACTACTGCTCCCTTCCAAATTATATTTACCAGTTAATTTAATATGTTTTTTCTATCCTTTTTTGGGCCCACTCTGTCGCTGTCACTGGCTATGGCCCATGACATTCCACCGTGTTTGTCTGTTGTTTTCATCTGGTTTCCTTCCGTTCGAGAAGCGTTCGGCAAAAACTTTGCACATTAAAATATGTAAATTTTAATTTAAAACGAAAGGGTTGACGTAGCATCCCCGCCAACCGTTGACGGCAATGGCGACAATGACGACGCCTTCCACTTACCACCACCCAGCCATCTTGTTGCCTATACCACCGACCCGGCTGCACCACTCGGAGTTTCCTATACAACCGGCCCGGCTGCCCCACTCGGAGTTTCCTGCCATCCTGTGGTGGCCTCTGCCCTGACTTTTTATCTAATGAAACATTGGCACAACTTTTTGGACACTTATAACGTTTGTGCGTCGACATCTGGGTTGGCAGCTCTGGTGGCCCAATGTTTTGGGGCAAGGGAGCCGCCATTTTCTTTTTGATAAATATTAGCCGAAAACATTCGATTTTATGTGGTAAAGCCTCCCAAAAAGGAAGACTGTCTTCACGTCTAGACTTTATGTTGAGAATTATTTTTGGATCTTAAAGTGTAATTTCGCTCTGACATGGATTGGATATGATCTTTACATTGATTTGAGGCAAAAAATGTGCCAGAACATTTACATAGTCCCACTTTTTGCAGACGAATGAACTAGAACGGCTATTGCATAATGCCTCCTGCTTAATCCCATATATGTACATACTTATGTATTTACATACATAAATATGTACGTGCATCGACATTTTATAGCGATTGTGTTCCCATCGTTTCCCAGTGTTTGGAGTAGTGAGTAGTTTCGTCTCTATCGTTGAACTGTAGAGGTCTGTCAACTTTCCTTGCTCTCCATTTGATTTTTAAGCCAATATCTCCCCCAAACAAAACATGCTATCCCCCTTCTGAGCTCTTCTCGTTCTCTGCCTTTCGCTTGCTTCTTTTCCTGTGCGTTTAATTTATTATCTAAGCAGGAAAAGCAACAGAGGCTGGTGGCGAAGAAGGGCGAATAGCACAAGCAGCAGCAGCTGCTCGAGAGTCGGAGGAACTGATTTACAGTTAGCTAAGAGCTGTGGCTTGATTATGGTGGTGGGGTGTAGGGGAGGTAGTCATAAAATACGTTGGGGTAAGGTTGGGGAAGGCAAGCCTCCGTTCTGTTGCTGCTGATGTTGATGGGGCTGCGGTGTCACAGCGTTGCAAGTGAACGAAAACAAATTTACAACAAACCACAGGGAAAATATGTGATGCCACTTGGAAGTAACTCCCCCAGCCGCCCTACAGCCTGTGTGTGGCGTTGGCTTCCAAACACTCCAACGATCCTAGGTTTTGGCACAAAATAAATTTAAGTTTAAAACTTGTGAACATTTTGCGGATAGCTTCGCATGCTGAGGGATGGTCTTCGTTGGGGGCGTTTGGGTGATGCTGTGAGTGGATTTCACTGATTTAATTGTTGGCAGCAGAAGCAGAGGCACATGCTTGAAATATACATATCTTTTAAATATAATGTATTAATTACTGTGGTTTCCAACCACTCCCCTAAACCACTGCACCCCCATAAACCCATTTGTGTAAAAAGCTTTTTGTTTGTGGCTGCATTGGTGTGTGGCTGTGTGTGTGTGTCTGTGTGCCTGCGCGTTTGGCTTCTGCTTCCCTATTGCGGTAAATGAATTTACGGCTCGCCTCTGCCCCTCTGTCCTTTTTCGCTCACTCCTTTCCTTGCCTCTGGCACACTCTTTCATCCTTCGTCTGGGCGTTTTATCGGTGAATAGTTTCAAACTGCGGGTTATGCTGGGGTTAAGACAGCAGCATCAGCCAGTTATGTAGACAGAGGGGCAGGTGGACCAGAAATGCATGTTGTTTTCACGCTCCGGCAGTCGGCCAGCTCCAGCCAGCCCCAGCCTTAAATAGTGGCTAATACTTTTCGGAGCAGCTCCAGGCCCCCCGTCTCGGTTTTTGCTCAATAATTGTATATTAATTAAGCGCAAGAGGATTTCATAATATTTGCAAAGCACTTGCTGGCGATATGGAGTGGCTGTGTCCCAACAGCTGCCCTTGCTTCCTTTTTGCCTTCCTGCCTTCGCCGTACTCTTTAATCCTCTTGATTTGAAGCGTCGTGACATTATATGTCTCTGTGTGAGTAAATGAGTGTGAATTGAGTGCGTGAGTGTTTGTCACGCCTGTTTTCAGTTAATTAAGAGACAGACATCATTCATTTGCTGTTGCCTTGCACCAGCCTTATGAGGGGTACTCTTTCACTTGCTTTGCATTCAGATGCTGCCTGTGTCACACTCGTTTTTTCAGTCGCAGCTGTTTGCGGCCACGCCCAGCAAGAAAAAAGAGAAGAGCAAGCAAAAAAAAAAGAGGGCTGCTGAAGTGGGCAATGATAAGGTTCGCCAGCGAGTATACACTCTTTCATTCCGCGAGTACACGTATACGCTTTTCATTTAGCTGTCAAGTCTGTCCCAAGAAGTGACCGCAGTGTCAGAGAGACAGGGAACAGTCAAACAGAAAGCGAGTCGGGAGAAGGCCAAACACAATGTGTATAGCAGAGAGATAATTGCAACAACTTTAAAGAAGCATATATGTTTTCCCAACGATTTACAAATGTCCCACTTTCTATCACAACGAACGAATTTCCACCGCTCCTCCTCTCTACCACCCACTCAGCATCACAGTTTCTCGGCTATCCCGGCTGGATGCGCATTGCAGTAGTTATCGGAAATACGTTAATCGACTTTTAAGCGGACACCTATCGGAAACTCATTCGATATGCCCTGTTTCACAGCCAGATGAATGTCCCCGCTTCCCACCATTATATTCCCTCTATCACGCTTTTTCTCTTTCTATCTCTCTGTCTCTTTGTGCATAACATGCAGAGGCCAAATGGCAAAGTGCGTTCGTGCATCCATCTGTATTGAAACTTCAATGCCCCCTCCGGCTCCACGCCACGCAGGGCATGCCATCATGGTTGCATGCTTTGCTGCCCTGCCAGTGCCCTTGCCATGGCACTAGCCCCTGCTCTATTACTGCTGCTATTACTGCTGCAAAGTCCCCATGGGGCCTGTCCTGTTTGGTTCTGGTCTGGACCGTTGTATCCTTCCTCCCGCCCCAATGTGTGGCAGTTCTTGCCCCTTGTCTTATCGGCGTTGTCATTTACAGCAGCTGGCCTTGTAGTTTGTGCGATTTTATTATACCCGGTACCCGGTTTTTTTGTATTTGTGCACAAAGTGAATGTATGTAGCACACAGAAGGCATCGTTTCCGACACCATAAAGTATAAAGTATTCTTGATCAGCATCAATAGCCGAGTCGATTGAGCCATGTCTGTCTGTCCGTCCGTCTGTACGTCTGTCCGTCCGTCTTTTTGAGCGCCTGGATCTCAGAGACTACAAAAGGTAGAGCCACCAAATTTTGCATCCAGACTTCTGTATACTCACACTGTTACAAGTGTATTTCAAA